TCCAAATTTGGTCTCATTCGATTCAGAATGGCTTGAAACGTCGAGAAAACATAAAATTAGCGAATCGGATTTTTTGATGAAAACATAAACTTCTCCTTCGGGAAGTTAAATATTTAATTAAATTGATCAATAGATTAATCAATTATACATAATAAATTAATAAATAAAATATGTCTAAATAAATAAATTAATTAATTAATAGCTAAATAATAATGAACTGAATTAATAAATTAAACAATTAATGAAGGTAATTAATAAATAAATAAATTGTGTAATTTTTCATTAATGAATGTAAGTCCTACTAAATAATTAATTACTAGCTAAATAAATAGTGAAATAAATTAATAAATTAAACTATTAATTAAGGTGATTAATAAATAAATAAAATTATTATTTATTTAATTTATGAGTGTATGTTCAAATAAATAAATAAATTTATTAATAGCAATAAAATTGAAAAAAATATACAAAAGAATAAAATAAATAAATAAACTAGTGAAATTAATTAATTATTTAATTACTTATTCAAAATAAGGAGAAATTTTAAAATGAAACAAATGCGTTATAATTAAAGTAATAAATAACATTTAAATAAAATATTACAAGTTAATAAATAAATAAATTACTTATTAAATAAATAACTTGATAAAATAATTAATTAATAACTTGTATCTCCAAATAAAAAATAATATTTATTATATATGTTTATTATTTTTATCAGATTTTACAACTTTATTGTCGGTGCTTCCCGGACTATTAAATTTTGTTCCTACACAAAAACATTTTGCCAAATTATTTTGTATTCATTATCGAAAATATTATATAATATATTTTATATTAAATCTGATTATTTTTAAGGTTTTTTCCATCAGTCTCGTATAAGTAGTTGCAAAAAATGCATTTTAAAGTATAAAGTTTAAATAAATTAAAATAAATTCAGTTTAAATAAAATAGTAATACATATTGTTTTAATATATTAAGTTGTTCAATATAAATCGCGAGTGTGTGCATATACGAGTGCCAAAGAAAGGATTTTTTGTCAGGTAAGTTTTGCATGGTTTTGACGATTTTTTTTGGTCATTTTAAGATACTTTAAATAAATTGTAATTTAAATATGTGATTTTAGAGATTAGAGATTTCTTTCAATTATAAAAATATTAAATGCAATACTTTACGAAATAATCATGTATAAATCAATATATACATTTATATATCCAATTCCCATACAATCTGGGACAGCTAGTATATATATATATATATATATATATATATAATCATGTATGAATCAATATATACATTTATATATCCAATTCCCATACAAACTAAGGCAGTTAGGCCATATATAATAATGTATAAATCAATATATACATTTATATATCCAATACCCATACAAACTAGGGCAGTTAGGCCATATATAATCATGTATAAATCGATATATACATTTATATATTCAATTCCTATACAAACTAGGGCAGTTAAGCCATATATAATCATGTATAAATCAATATATACATATATATATATATATATATCCAATTCCCATACAAACTAGGGCAGTTAGGCCATATATAATCATGTATAAATCGATATATACATTTATATATCCAATTTCCATACAAACTAAGGCAGTTAGGCCATATATAATTATGTATAAATCGATATATACATTTATATATCTAATTCCCATACAAACTAAGGCAGGTAGGCCATATATAATAATGTATAAATCAATATATACATTTATATATCCAATTCTCATACAAACTAGGACTGTTAGGCCATATATAATCATGTATAAATCGATATATACATTTATGTATCCAATTCCCATACAAACTAGGGCAGTTAGGCCATATATAATCACTTATAACTCGATATATACATTTATATATCCATTTCCCGTACAAACTAGGGCAGTTAGGCCATATATAATCATGTATAAATCAATATATACATTTATATATCCAATTCCCATACAAACTAGGGCAGTTAGACCATATATAATCATGTATAAATCAATATATACATTTATATATCCAATTTCCATACAAACTAAGGCAGTTAGGCCATATATAATTATGTATAAATCGATATATACATTTATATATCTAATCCCCATACAAACTAAGGCAGTTAGGCCATATATAATTATGTATAAATCAATATATACATTTATATATCCAATTCGTATACAAACCAAGGCAGTTAGGCCATATATAATTATGTATAAATCGATATATACATTTATATATCCAATTCCCCTTCAAACTAAGGCAGTTAGGCCATATATAATTATGTATAAATCGATATATATATTTATATATCCAATTCGTATACAAACCAAGGCAGTTAGGCCATATATAATCATGTATAAATCAATATATACATTTATATATCCAATTTCCATTTAAACTGGGACAGCTAGTATATTTATAATCATGTATGAATCAATATATACATTTATATATCCAATTCCCATACAAACTAGGGCAGTTAGGCCATATATAATCATGTATAAATCGATATATACATTTATATATCCCATTCCCATACAAACTAGGGCAGTTAGGCCATATATAATCATGTATAAATCAATATATACATTTATATATCTAATTTTCATACAAACCAGGGCAGTTAGGCCATATATAATCATGTATAAATCGATATATACATTTATATATCCAATTTCCCTACAAACTAAGGCAGTTAGGCCATATATAATTATGTATAAATCAATATATACATTTATATATCCAATTCGTATACAAACCAAGGCAGTTAGGCCATATATAATTATGTATAAATCGATATATACATTTATATATCCAATTCCCCTTCAAACTAAGGCAGTTAGGCCATATATAATTATGTATAAATCGATATATACATTTATATATCCAATTCGTATACAAACCAAGGCAGTTAGGCCATATATAATCATGTATAAATCAATATATACATTTATATATCCAATTTCCATTTAAACTGGGACAGCTAGTATATTTATAATCATGTATGAATCAATATATACATTTATATATCCAATTCTCATACAAACTAAGGCAGTTAGGCCATATATAATAATGTATAAATCAATATATACATTTATATATCCAATACCCATACAAACTAGGGCAGTTAGGCCATATATAATCATGTATAAATCGATATATACATTTATATATTCAATTCCTATACAAACTAGGGCAGTTAGGCCATATATAATCATGTATAAATCGATATATACATGTATATATCCAATTCCCATACAAACTAGGGCAGTTAGGCCATATATAATCATGTATAAATCAATATATACATTTATATATCTAATTTTCATACAAACCAGGGCAGTTAGGCCATATATAATCGTGTATAAATCGATATATACATTTATATATCCAATTTCCGTACAAACTAAGGCAGTTAGGTCATATATAATTATGTATAAATCGATATATACATTTATATATCCAATTCGTATACAAACCAAGGCAGTTGGGCCATATATAATTATGTATAAATCGATATATACATTTATATATCCAATTTCCATTTAAACTGGGACAGCTAGTATATTTATAATCATGTATGAATCAATGTATACATTGATTCATACATGATATAAATATACTATATATCCAATTCCCATACAAACTAGGGCAGTTAGGCCATATATAATCATGTATAAATCGATATATACATTTATATATCTAATCCCCATACAAACTAAGGCAGTTAGGCCATATATAATCATGTATAAATCGATATATACATTTATATATCCAATTCCCATACAAACTAGGGCAGTTAGGCCATATATAATCATGTATAAATCAATATAAACATTTATATATCCAATTCCCATACAAACTAAGGCAGTTAGGCCATATATAATCATGTATAAATCAAACAGTTGCTGACGGCGGCGCCATCTAACACAGAACCATATGAACCCGGTAGTCACTACGTAGTTCCCGAATAACTGGGAGCAATTTTACATAGAGGCGCTGCATGCAATCTCTTTAGAAAAGTAGGAATCTTAGTGGATTCCCATTGGATTCTTTTATACGCTATTAGATATACAAATTCAAAATCGTTTTATTCAAAACTTTTCTATCGGAGTGTATAAAAGTGTTCCTTAGGAAATGTTCTAAATTTTATCTAGTTTTACCCTGTCTAATTGAAAAGGGGTGATTCCATATGAAATCTTTGAGTTATTTGACAAAAACCAAAAAAATGTCCCGAATTTTCCATTTATTACACAAAGATGAAAATTCCTTGCACAGGTAATCACTTAAACAAATAAACAAGTAAACTGGTAGACAAGGAGATCATATACTACAATATTAAAGATACAGATTAATATGATGATTATAAATAAAATATTATAAACATATTTCTAAAAAAAATTTCAAATACTTACTTTATTAATATTATTTGCACAAAGTTCCTATTCAGGAAACTAATTAAATAAAAAAAACTTGTTTAATTCAAATATATTTTATTAAAATATATTATGTTACCTTCAAATGTTCAAAAGTTATTTAAATTAGTAAAATTGTGAAAAATATAAAATATGGACAAAATAACATTCAACTTTGTTATGAATTACAAAAATTTATTCAAGCAAAATAATAATTAAACCTACAGCAGATATAAAACACTATTACAATTAAACAATCATTGACATTGTTTGTTTATATTTATAGAACATAAAGAAATAATTCATATTGTAAATATACTTTTAAAAATTAATTAATAAATTTTTCAACTCCATTTTTACCAACATTTTTTACAAGTATAACATTATTTCATTGCACAGTCATTTGACAAAATCACTTTTTATTTATAATTATTTTTTGTTGTGTGCAATGATGTGCCTTTTCAGGGTGCTTGGCCGTGCAAATGTTTTATCACATACTGTACACTTATGGGACCGTACCCCACTGTGACCGGGCATATGATTTACCAAACTACTTGCTTGTGTGAATGTCCTAGACTCTAGAGCATATTTCACATTTAAAAGAACGAACCCCACTGAAAAAGAGTTTATGTACACTCAAGCTACCCATTTGTGTGAATGTCTTATTGCATATTTCACATTTGTGAGGCCGTTCCCCAGTGTGAATAAGCACATGTCTATTCAAACTATTCACTCGAGTAAATGTCTTATTGCATGTTTCACATTTGTGAGGTCGTTCCCCAGTGTGAATGAGTTTATGTGCACTCAAGCTACTCATTTTTGTGAATGTCTTATCACATGTTTCACATTTGTGAGGACGAACTCCACTGTGAATGACTTTATGTGCTCTCAAGGTAGCCATTGTTTTGAATGTCTTATGGCATATTTCACATTTGTGAGGCCGTTCCCCAGTGTGAATAAGCACATGTCTATTCAAACTATTCACTTGAGCAAATGTCGTATTGCATGTTTCACATTTGTGAGGCCGTTCCCCAGTGTGAATAAGTTTATGTGCTCTCAAGGCAGCCATTGTTCTGAATGTCTTATCACATACTGTACAATTATGGGGCCGTACCCCACTGTGAATGGGCATATGATTTGTCAAAGTACTCGCGTGTGTGAATGTCTTAAAGCATATTTCACATTTGTGAGGCCGTTCTCCAGTGTGAATAACCACATGTCTATTCAAAGTATTCATTCGAGCAAATGTCTTATTGCATGTTTCACATTTGTGAGGTCGTTCCCCAGTGTGAATGAGTTTATGTGCTCTCAAGAAAGACATTTGCGTGAATGTCTTATCGCATATTGCACATTTATGAGGACGAACCCCACTGTGAATGAGTTTATGTGCTCTCAAGAAAGACATTTGTGTGAATGTCTTATCGCATATTGCACATTTGTGAGGACGAACCCCACTGTGAATGAGTTTATGTGCTCTCAAAACACCCCTTTGTCTGAATGTCTTATTGCATATTTCACATTCGTAAGAACGTTCTCCAGTGTGAATAAGCAAATGCTCTTTCAAGTAACTTAGATATTTAAAACTCTTATTACATACTTTACATTTATGTAGTCTCTGTGTACTCTTACTTTGTTTTTGATTATCAGATAATTTATTCAACGTTAAAGTTTTTTCTCCATTACAAACACAAACGTGTTGATCAAAATCAAATTTTACAGCAAATGCTTTACTGCAAATTGTGCACACAAAAGGCTTTTCATCTGCATGAATTTTCAGATGTATATCTAAGGCGCTTGAATCTGGAAAAGTATCTGAACAAAATGGGCAATGTACCAGCATATGCTGTTCTAAATCATGCTGCCCTGTAAATGATTCATTACAAATAGTACATTCATAATGAGATGCCTCATAGGATTCCAGCTTGACTTCATCTTCTATTGTTATATCGGAGTTCATAAATCTCTCCAGACATGTTTTATCATCTTCAGGCTCTTCTTTTATTTCACATTTAATGTCTTCAATTGGAAATTCTGGAGGTTCGGTTCTAACTTCCAGAATGGAATCAGAGAGAGAAACAGCCATTGATTATCTGAAATTTTATTTAATATTTGTAATTAGCAGGGATTATGGTATAAAGAAAATGCATTTTCATCTAAGATGATCAAGGAAACAGAAACTACTAAGTATGGACCTCAAAACGAGCATCTACTTTTGCAGAGCGTAGGTAGATATGTAATAAAACACACTAAGATTTATTTATTATGTCAACTAGAACTGATTTTAGTATTAAAAATCAGGTATCAATGAATATATATATATATATAAAAACACGTACCAGCACAAATTTAACTAAACATTTGAACAGTCAAGCATTCAGTACACTATAATATTGATCGTTACAAAATAAATATAATATTTGAAGCTGTAATTGAAAATATTGCGCAAATAATATATTTACTTATTAAATTGTGTAGTTTTGTTATAATATAATAATATTTAATAAAATAAATAATTTATAAGAAACTGTCAGCCATTTTTATTTAAACTTGCTGTCACCTGTCAAAATTGTTTTGAATCTAACTTCAGACTTCACTTTTCGTCTCGAATTAAATCTGGCAACCCTGTCAAATTTGACAGTTGACATTTTGAATTTCGTACAAATTCCAAACGTCAAATTTAAACAAATTTAAACAATTAAACTATCGTCTTTTTCACCTGCAAAAATATTTATATATTGTAGAATTTATGTTGAAAGTTTATGTGATCAATAATACAACCATTTATGCAGAAGGATAAAAACAGACTGACTGATTATATATTCTTTAACTAATCACATGCATTACAAATATTATTAACAATCACTTGTTTTACACAAAACAAAAGAGAAACATATATACATAAACATAGTAGACACAGAGCGTTTAGTATCAAACTTCAACATATTATATGTAATAAAACTAAAAAAAAAACCTGACCGTTATTTTCTCAAGTTATGGAACTCTTGGGCTCCGGAGACATGTTACCAGACCACTTGCAAAGAATGAAATATTAAATTCAAAGTCGTTTTATTCGAAACTTTTGTATCGGACTGTATAAAAGTGTTCCCTAGGAAATGTTCTAAATTTTATATAGTTTCACCCTGTCGAACTAAAAAGGGATGATTTCATATGAAATTTTTGAGTTATTTGACAAAAACCAAAAAAATGTCCCGAATTTTCTATATTTATTGCTTAAGAATGAAATATCAAATTCAAAGTCGTTTTATTCAAAACTTTTATATCGGAGTTTAAAAAAGTGTTATCTAGCAAATGTTATAAATTTTATCTAGTTTCACCCTATCTAACTGAGAAGGGGTAATTCCATATGAAATTTTTGAGCAATTTGACAAAAACCAAAAAAATGTTCCAAACTTCCTTATTATTGCTTAAAAATGAAATATCGAATTCAAAGTCGTTTTATTCAAAACTAACCAATACTATTATATATACATAAGTTTATTAATTGAATTATTATTATATAAATATATATTTTCAAAAATCTTGTTTCATCAAGGTATCCATTCCAACGTCGTCCAGAAGAGCAGTATGCCTTACTCGTTCCATAGCTTGTTCCTGAATCCTGTTCAAGAGATCTTGGTACGGAACTATGCACTTTAGGAAGTCTCTGTATTCCAATTGGTAGACTTCACAAATTTCCAACTAGAAGATAAAAAATTGATGATATACAAATAGAATCAAGAAAGAAATTTCCAAAAATATTTATAAATCAAGAAGAAAAATAGAAGATACTGGATGGTAAAAAAAAATAGAAAGGGTATGGGCGCATTGCCATACAGAATCGGCCCCACCCTGGTATTTAAATAATTTATACGCCATTTTATAGGTCTATTTGATAAAAACCGATATACCAATTTTTAACTTTGTACCTCATCTTATGGCCGAGATATCATTGAAAATATGCCAAAGTGGCCCCATCTTTCAAACTCACTTTTTGGCGTAACCATAAAAGATATCGAAAAATTTTTTACGTGATTCTACTCACATTGACTCAGACCACATTATGTAGAACAATCGATTCCAAAAAATCGTTTACTATTAGTTGAAAAAGACAAAATAATTTTTCAATTGATTATTTCGGGTAGTGCATTTATTTGGACCACTTTCTAATTAGCGTTATTCGAAAGCCTATTGTTTTTTCTTTGAGTACTACAAATATTGTTCAAATCAATTTAGTGGAACACATTGGAAAATTGAAAAAACCGGAGTCAGTACACCCGCGCGTAACGCTAATAGTACCCTGCAATTGCATAGAGTTCGTTCGGACGTAAAGCAGTGCGCGATGCGCCGAAACGATTCTTAAGACATTCTGAATGCGAAAATATTTATTTTATAGTTATATGATATGTATACATATAAATTAATGATGTAATGAAAAATTGTAGTTTCAACAAACCAAAAAACTTTTTTTTGAATGATAGTTGTAACATTGTGACAATAAAGCCCTTATTGTGACCATTCTTTATCAGTACTACAATTTCAGTCATTTGATGTAAATTAAGAAATTAATTAATTAATAACTTTGTTCAATACTGCAAGGTACGACAGCAACTCGGTCTACTCTAAAAATGCTATGAAATCTAAGAATTTGTTTATTTATTACAACTACATTAATTTCTTCAACTTTTACCAACGAAGGTTTCACATTTATATATATATATATATATATATATATATAATATATATATATATATATATATATATATACGTATATATATATATATATATATATATATATTATTAAAACTTTCATATCTTTTGAACTATTAGTGTAGTGAATTTACTAAGAATTAAATAGTTAATTGAATTTTCTAACATCAAAAGTACCTACAGCAACTCAAAATGTTCGAAAAGTGCCATAAAAGATGCAAATACCATTTGTTTACTAGTACATATATTTAGTAATTCTAGTAAATCTTCTATATCTCTTGAACTATTAATCTAGTATAAATAGTATATTTGACAAATTTTCTTAGAATTAAATAGTTAATGAATTTTTCTAATATCAAAAGTACTTACAACAACTCGTTATGCTCTAAAAGTGTCATAAAAGATGTGAATTTAATTTTCTAGTACAAATATTTAATAATTCTAGTTAATCTTCTATATGTTTTAAACTATTAGTGTAGTATAAATAGTATATTCCAAGAATTTACTTGGAAGTGAATAGTTAATAAAATTTTCTAACATCAAAAGTACCTACAGCAACTAGTTATGCTCTAAAAGTGCCATAAAAGATGCCAATACCATTTGTTTCACTAGAACATTTATTTAGTAATTCTAGTTAGTCTTCTATATCTTTTAAACTATTAGTATAGTATAAATAGTATATTTGACAAATTTGTTTAGAATTACATATTTAATAAATTTTTTTAACACCAAAAGTACCTTGAACAATTCGTTATGCTTTAAAAGTGCCACAAAAATGACAATTAATGCTATTCTTTTACTAGTACATTTATTTAGTATATCTTCTATATCTTTTAAACTACTAGTGTAATACGAATACTATATATGACAAATTTCTTTATTAAATTATAAATAACTTCTTCTAACATCAAAACACTCTACATCTACTCGGTATACTTTAAAAAAGCACTTGAAGATAAAAAAACTTTCCAGGAATGCATGCGTGTGTGTGGGTTTTTTTTTGTATAGCGAAGAAAATGATTTTATGCATCCCAGACCGGTCTTCTGTCTGGGTATGTCGGACTCGATGCCGCCCTGGTATAATACCGACTAAAACCTCCGCTTTGCCCCTGCCTCTGGTCCCCACGGAAACCGCCGTTAGGCATTACTTCGTGGGGGGAGGATCTAAAATGTTACAATTCTTAACTTGTTATAAACAATGTTATAATTCATAAACTTTATACTTATCTTTTAAATGGGCGAAGTCCCATTCGCCCTTTTTCTCTCTATAGAACGCAGGTCCATTAAAACGTCTCTCGCAAATCTGTCTATGGCGTTCCAAGCAGCTTCACTTGTCAACATCACTTCAACAATATTACCTGGGGTAATTCTGCGTCCCAATGTCTCTTCCACGTCATCCCGTAGAGCACCAAATCGCGGGCACACGAAAAACACATGCTCAGCATCTTCGATTTCGCCCAAACAATATGGGCAATCCGGCGAGCTATCGTGCTTGAAGCGGTGTAGGTAGGCTCGAAAACAGCCGTGCCCCGATAGCATTTGCGTAGTATAATAATTTACTTCGCCGTGCTTGCGACTTAGCCAGACTTTGATGTTAGGAATGAGACGATGCGTCCATCTGCCCTTTACTTCGACATCCCACAGTTGCTGCCATCGGTCAATGCTGTTCTGCCGTTCTTCTAATCTCAGCTTTTCTGGACACAGTTGTTGATGTCTTCTATGGTAAATTGTCCGTCTTTCCTCTGCTAAGACTAAGAGAGGCACAGTGCCTGAAATGACGCACACTGCTTCCGCCGATATTGTGCGAAATGCGCAAGCAATTCTTATAGCACTGAGACGATATAAGGGCTCTGCCATTCTCCTCGATTTTTGAGATTTAAGAGCATCAGCCCATATGAAGATACTATATGTCAGCACCGAAGTAATAACTGACGATAGTAATATCCTTCTGGTTTGTTTAGGACCTCCAATATTAGGCATCAGTCGAGCAAGTTTCGTCCTACGCCAACTATTGACGCCTTAGCACTTACGTGTTCCACCTGTTGATTGAAATTCAAACGAGCATCAAGCATTACGCCAAGGTAACAGATGTGAGGTTTTGACTTGATCTCAATTCTTTTCCTATTAGTGATAAGAACAGCTTAACTTTTTTGTTGTGCTAATTGGAGATTCATTGTTCCCATCCACCGATTAATTTTTCTAAATGTAATATCGAATAGGCTTACGATGTCATCAATTTGTTTGGAGACAACCACTATGGCAACATCGTCTGCATATGCTACTAGTTTCACACATTCTGGAATCTCTAGTCTCAAAAGGCCATCATACATAATATTCCACAGCAAAGGGCCTAGAACAGGCCCTGCGGCACACCTC